TATTCTCTGTTTCTGCAACTGTAGCAGATACTTGTCGATTCAGTAACCAGTTGTGGCGGATAAATAAAATTTTAACTAAGGCAGAGTTCCGATTCCGAAAGAGTGTCTAAAAATCACCATAATATACGACTTACCAACTCTTAAAAACTTCCTCATATAACAGTGATTGCAACTGAATGGATAACCATCAATGGCCCGGTTATACCTTAACAGAATCGCTATCCCTCCACATATGCATATTTTAGTCCTTCGTATCAATCCATTTTCGATACAGAAGTTAAAAGCCAAATCTGGGTGGAACTTGTAACGGAGATTATGAACAACAATCATTTGTAATATTGAGCGTTCTGATTGGTTTATTCAAGGTCATTTAGCCTTGGTGCCTATTCTTTACTCTGGCCCAATATTGTGTAGACTTGCACTTGTAGAACACCTCCAACAGGGGTTGGTTGGTTATTGGAAGGGGGCATTAGACGAACCATTAGCTCAACTCGAGTACCTAGTTCGAATAGATAGTCAAGAGGAAAGTCTCTCTCGAAGTGATATGTATGTAAGGTAAGATATATATGCTAGTCGTCCAGTGTAGAAGGTTTGGCTTCACACAACAGAGGAAACCGTGGACTGTGTATACGAAAGCTATTTGTCTAACACGCTTTTACAATAATATCCTCAAAGCCCTATATGAATTCTACCATAATTTCGAATCTATTCCATCTTCACCTGTTGTTTACTTTTTTCACCGTCTTCTTTCCTTTCAAACGACTCACTTTAGAATATGCTTTATGCATGTTTTCAAGCTCTTAGTCGTGATGAGAATAATACTCCAGTTTTTTCAGGAGTTTACAGTTCTGATGATAATAATCATTTCTGAACGTCATTCATCACTGAATGATTATAGACTGCATAGTATCACTCCTACTACTGCTGCTCAACAAAGTTTCGTAATTAATTTTTTTTACTTTTGTGAATTTCATATTTCATTACTCCATATGTGTGGTATTAATAATTGACCTTGATGAACACTTCCCATGACCCTTTCAAGAGTACAATATAATAAATAAATGCATCACTCTGAAGAGTAGTAGAGTAAGACAAGAATAAGCATATTGTTTGTTGACTTGTGTAGTTCACTGAGTTCACATCACATGATGAAAAGCTGACTAATGTTTGAAAACTACTTGATATACAATAACAAGTGCACAATTAATTGACTGACATTGACATTGAACACAAAGTGCATAAATGTTGTATATTGTGTGCGCTACAGCTGCTTCAAGTTAGATGAAGGATGTTGAAGGAAATAACACTATGAATGAAATGTAATAGCATTCATCGTAAATTAATGAATGGGGTTGTTCTTATGATAGGAGGCTACACTACACTACACTATATCAACCTTACCTAGCTAGTATTAGCTGTCTAATCAACCAGTTAATCATTCATTACAGTACTGGACTTTTAGGTGTTGATGACGAAATACAAACTCCCAAAAAAGCATTCAGTTATTTGGAAATTGAATGGGCAGTATATATATAAACGGATACTAAGGTTATTCAAGGGAAAGAACTCGGACCTTCTCTCGGTTTTTTTTCTACATATTCCCTAGTGGAACATAGGGCTCCTCTTCACCAGCAGTGTTTCTGGCTTAGCGAGATAAACGAGTCTTTAGGCCGGTGATCGAACCCTGGACCATGTGCATGGTCAGCGAGCGTCCTAACCGCTGTGTCACAGACTCACTCCTTCCCTGGTTAGTATGAGTGAACTACGGAGTGTGAGAATAAGCGTGTTAATATGACAAGGAAGGAGGTAGAGATGTGACATGTGAGCGTAGATGGATGCCTACCACCACCACCTGTTGAAACAAAACTTAAGACACCTAAGTCATGTGTAGAAGGGCAGTCAGGAAGGTGAAAATAACGGCATCACACTATTTCCTCCTGACCGATGCATGTGAGTAGTTGCATACCACTCGTATCACAACCAGTAGCGGACTGCTTTACGGCTTTGAGTTGAATCAGACGGGGTGTAGCAAAGATGAGGTCGGCGTTGAACGATGAAAACAGCTAGTTTTCCAGAGTTTTGATCTCTTCAATCTGGTTGGCTAATCTACTGACTGAAGTGAGTGGCATTCAGCTACTCATATCAATCAGTCAATCAATCGGTAGTATACAGCGTGATACATTAATCCAGTAAATTCAACAAATATCAATGCTTGAGAAAATCAGTTTTTCTGTTGCTATCGGATTTAATTATCCGGGATAGGGTTACTAGCTTCATACCTGACCTTCCCTCTTTCCCAGTTTAGGACTGACTAGTAGGATAGGAACCCCTTTGACTTGTCTAGGAAGCAGTGTTTCAACTACAGTCGGCAAGAAAGAGAATTGGAAAATCTGAAATAAGTTTGTAATTTTGATGTGGTTGTGTTCTCCGAGCTAGCTGGATTGTTAATTTGCGGAGCTCTCATCACCCTACTAGGTGTGACATCTTCAGCTCATACTTCAATTCGACGAAGTGAGCTTTTAGATTTCTCCACGAGATTATTAATCATCTCTCCTGGTGACCTTCAACGTCGTGATTGATTTTTTTTGTGTTTTCACACCTTGTAGGTTACTTGTATTGGAACTTCAGAAAAATTGAAGATATCTCACGGACGTCTTCCAAGAGAATTGATATCCACGGAATTTCATCAGAAGAAATATACCCTCAAGTCAACCTATCATACCAAAAGCACCCAAGGAAAGCACAAAGAAAATCGCCTTACCATATATAAAGGATGCCTCAGAAATCACTACAAGACTCTTCAAACCTTCAGGGATTGACATCGTACACAAACCAACAAAGTCACTTCACTCAGTTGGTTCAATGTCAACCAAAAGACTCAACAGCAAAAGAAGGTAAAACCTACATCATCTACAAAATAAATTGTAACAACTGTGAAAAACACTACATTGACCAAAGTGGACTACCCTCCTCTTCGTCTTCGTATCCACGAACATAAGCTAGCCGTCAAAAGACATGACATCCACTCCATCACTACATACAGACAACCACGGACATCAATTCGACTGGGACAACAAAACCAACGTTCAAATATTAGACAGAGGAAACACCAAGAAAGGTAGAAAATTCATTGAAGCCGGCCTGGCATTCCAGTGAATCATCAATCAATAGACACACCGAGATAGACAAAATTTATCAACCGATAAGAAGAAAACCGCACACACACAAAGGGTCAAAGTTCAAGTCAAAGAAAAAATCAGTTCCAGTACAATACAAGTAACCTAGATGGTGTGAAAACACAGATAAAACAACAAAAATAATAATCTATGTCGAAAACAGACAGACAGAATCAATCAAGTCCAAGGTCACCCACCAGGAGAGATGATTATTAAACTCGTGGAGAAATCTAAAAGCTCACTTTAATTCGAATTGAAGTGTATGCGCTGAAGATGTCGCCTAGTGGCGGGGGGGGGTGATGAAAGCTTCGCAAATTAACAATCCAACTAGCTCAGAGAACACAACCACATCAAAATCATCCACCTGAGCTAAAAATGTGTTTACACGGTAAGGGAGAGAGTTAACGACACAGAGAGAGGCGGAGAGAGAACATACTCACATGTTGAGACAGTAATGACATTCATTTTTATATAATTAATATTATTATTGGTAGTAAATGCATACACACATACACACCAACGTGGGCAACAATTACCATAATAATAATAATAATAATAATAATAATAATAATAATAATAATAATAATAGTTAATAATAATAGTGGAAATGTAAGTGGTGGAATTGTAAAACACACACAACACAACTCAGCGTCATTTGCAACAATACTCTCTCTCTGTAGAGAAGAAAAGGTGATGAACCTGGACTGTGATTAAGTTTATCATCTATCTATCTATTATAACAAACAGACAAACACACACACGCACACACACACACTAACTGGGATAACACCTGAACATAATGTGTACACACATAGAGTATGTAGAGAGTAGTGTTAGTAGTAGTAGTAAGAATAGGTAGTTAAATCGAAAAAAAACCAAACAAAATAATGTGCCTTCCTGTCTCATGACTTGTAGTAAATGGGATTAACATGAAGAACGAGATGTGAAGAAGAGGCAGAAGCACTTTACACTGAACATCATTCATTACTATAATCTTCAAAATAAACAAATAAAATGTCTGAGAAAATTGAACCAATATTTATTGATATATATATTGAAGAGGGGGAGGCGGAGTTAGAGAGAAATAGACAACACGGGGTGGCTGCATGTGTGTGTGTGAGTGGAAGAAGGATGCCAAAACGGAAACACAACACAATTTGAGTGAGTAGAGAGTAAGGGAATTTGTTTTGAAAACCCACCAAAAACAAAATTAATTAATTAATTAATCAATTTAATAAATAAATAAATAGACAAATTATATTTTGATAGAAGAATTCCACAGATTGACAACTACTGTAAATTTCAAAACTTCACAATACAAAAAAAGGGGAGGGGTAAGTTTGTTTTTATCTATATGCATTTGTATATGTATATATAAAATTAAATGCGAAAAACAATGTAGTCAAATGAAGGAATCCGTGTTTTTCAAACAACACATCAACACAAACATGAAGATGTGTAAAACCCACAAGACACGGAAACAAACAAACAAACAAACACGAACAAACCCACACACGAGATATAACACAGTAGTAAGTAAGTAGAAATCAAATGAAAGCCATATTTTTCCCTTTATAATATAGATGAAATAATACCACTAAACTAACTAACTAACTAACTAACCAAAGCAAAACTGAAAAAAAAAATTTGAGTAAATCAAAAGGAACGCGACCGGGTACGTAGTTAGGTAAGTAAATTATATATATATGAAAAGAAAAAAAGGGAAAAGAGAGGAATTATAATTCATCTTCTTGTGTGCTCAAATGTTTTCTTCTGCTTAGCGCTTAAATATCTTAGTTAGGTTCTTCTCTCTTTTCTATTATTTTACAGATAGTCATCTTTTCGTTGACTTCCTGTAAAGGCATCTGCACGACAAAGAGGGCATGTACGTTTAGTCTGTAAAGTAAAGGAGAGTAAAGATTAGAAAACAAAATAATATAAATATATAAATGGAAATCATTTTGTTTGATAAGAACTAAATATTGGACAGAATAACATTAGTGATCAAGTTATCTGAACACCTTGAGATGCAATCTACGAATGTTTGGCATCCGTCAAATGCAAGATGATGTCACAGGACTGGCTGGACTACACTGACTCCTAGTTTAGAAATAGGGAGTGATGTGGTAGAGCACGTTGACCGCTTCACTTATTTGGGAAGTACCATCAGCCAGTGCCAACAGGTTGATCTCTGACGAAATCTCAGCACGGATACAGAGGGCTACTTTCGCATATGGCAGTTTACTTCGTCTCTGGCGTAGACGTGATATCCAGCTGTCGACTAAAAAGCCTATGTACTGCTCAGCAGTTCACTCCGTCCTCCTTTATGGCTGTGAGCGAGACGTGGATATTGAGAGTGGAAGACATGAAAAGCCTAGCTAGCTGTCTTTGAGCATACGTCCATGCGTTCTATCTCCCGTGTGAAGTGGTACAGTAGAGTGAGCAATATTGAGGTTAGGTGTCGAGTGCTAGTTAGGCGGGAAAGAGAAACCAATCGACGAGGCTGTGAAATTACATTAACTGAGATGGTTAGGACATGTGTTACGTACGCCTATTCATTGCCTTCCTCGACAATGGGCAATGTTAACTGACATAGAGTCAGGCTGGAAAACAGCTTATGGTGGTCAAACGAAAACATGGCACCAGTCAATGAAATCCACAACAGTTAGTTTAAGCCACTCACGTAGGAAGGTGCAGACTTCCTGACTAGTTGGGGTCCTCGGGACGGTAAAAACCAATGGTTGAAAACAATTGGTAACGTGGCTCAAATCGTTCTCAATGGCTGGCTGGCGCAGATGCATCCACTCCTTGTGACTTATGATTTCCAATGAAACTACATTGTTCTTCGTTATTACTATTCCTTTGTCTCACACCTCTGTTTACTATCTCTATCATGCATTTCTTCTACTTTCTTCAGTTGCTTTGTGTGCTACATGAAGCGAGTGTAGCGACTTGAACTGCCGCACATGTGTGCAAAGTTCTATGTCGAAAACAGAGAGACAGACAGGAGGAATGAAACTCTAAGTATTACAACGGGGTAGTAAACCATAGATATAGGGACGAAGCCACAGTACTGGTCTATACCATTTAGTAGTTTGCAAGAGAGTAAAATAAGCGATTATATGTGTGTTGGCCAGCTGACTTATTTGGGGGTTTACATTGGCCTTAATGTGCATCAGTGGTTCACTAGTAGGTAGAGCACTCGCCGACGACACCACACATGATCTGAGATTCAATCCCCGGAAGACGAACTCCTAGACCTCATCTAGCCTAGAGTAAGACCGGTAAAGAGGGAAAGGTTAGGTGTGAGGGCAGCAAACGCACCTCATAAAAGAACAACTCCACAGCTGAAACTTCAGTGCTCATACATGAAGCCCTATAGTTTCGGCGGGGAACGCAAAGGAATTAAAAAACAATATCAGCCTTAATTAATGGACTGCTGCTAGCTGAAAAAATGTCAGGACAAGTTCGTTTGACAATCTAAAAATAGCATCCTCTTTGGCGCTGATGAAATATCCGACAACATATAAAATGGTGCGTTTACTGTATAGTAATTCGCTACGTCCCATTTTACGGTTGTGGAACACATGGTCAGTGAAAGTAGACTCTGAAAACATCACATGTTCTGCACATAAATGACTTTTGCTATCTGCAGACACTAGATGGTAATTTATTCGAGATTAGAAGTAATAGTAAGTAAGGAAGGTAAGTGGCTAGTTGATGAGTTTGTAAACCTGGGATCAACTAAGATGAGTAGAGGAATGTGTTACAAATGTCAAGTCACCATCAACATCTATCTTGACAACAACCACCGTTAACTAGATTATATGTGATAAGATTAGAAAAGAGTTAAGTGTAGCCAGATCAAAATATGCAATTTATTCATGAGTTCATTGACCTTGTGGAGTGATGTAAATGCATTCATTTGTCTTCACGTGTTGAGCATTAAAACTCTTCTACACAGTTCTGGCTATTGTTGTATCATCTGTCTGTCTGGTCCGTCTGGATTCAACATAGAACTTGTCACCGAAGTGCACCAGTTCCAGTTGCCACGTTCCAAATAGCACACAGAGGAAGACAAGAAGATGAGTGAAGAGAATCAATAGAGTTTGACAAGTATAAGAGTGAAACAGAATGGGTAATGGTAGAAAGGAATACGAAAGACTACAGAGACTGAATACATCTGCGCTGGCCATTGACAACGATGAGTTTGAGCCATGTCACCTATTGTCTCCAGCCATTGATTCCTAGATTCCCGAGATCCCCAACCCGAAAGTCTGAATCTCCTACCCTACCTGACTCAGTTTAACTGTCAAGGATTTCATGGATTGATGAGGCCATGTTTTTGTTTGGCCACCACTGGCTTTTTTCCAACCTTCACCTACCTATATCGTCAATTGATTTTCCCTCTTTGCCCAACACTCTACGCCTATCGTCAACATTACTTACCTTATTAAACCACCTAACGTGAGAAAGAGATCGTAGACATCTATGATCGAAAGCAGTTAACCTTTTCATGTCTTCAACTCGTATTGGCCATGTTTCACAGCCATAGACAAGGACGGAGCGAACTGCTGAGCGGTACACACGTCCCTTGGTTGATAGCCAGCCGGATGTCACGCCTACGCCAGAGATGGTGTAAGTTGGCGAAAGCAGCTCGAGCTTTTTGGATCCGTGCTGAGATTTCATCGCCAATCAGTCCGTTGGTGCTAATACAACTTCCCAAATAGGTGAAGTGGTCATCATGTTCTATCACTTCACTCCCTATCACTAAGCTAGGAGTTGACGTAGTCCAGTCCTGTAGCAACATCTTACATTTTCCAGGGGCGAATCGCATGCCAAACATACGAAGATTGCTGCTCAGGGTGCTCAGAAGACTCTGCATGTTGTATCATCATATATCCACTTCTTTGTTCTTTTATGTTGATTTCAAAATAAGGCATTTCATCAATGCAAGGTACTGCATCTACTGAAGCCATTTGTCTAATATGAAGTGATATTCACTAATGAAACAACTAAGAGACTATCACTGACACAATCTGTAGAGGGGAACTGGAGACAAGTAGGAGAATGATGCTCAGGAAGGCTTCGTGTGCTTTTGGAAGTGTGTGGGCGGTTGTTACTTCCCGGCTGCACACGCCGTGGAAGTCGATTGATTCTTCGGGTACCTGAAAGAGGCAGGGATAGTGTTGCGTGAGCGAAGAGCCCAGGAGACAACTGCTTGAGACCAACCGGTTACACACGACCTGTATGAACTGGTTTCTGGGAGTGGTTCCGTGTTAGTAAACTTACCGCCGGTTACTGACCACTGTAGGGTAAGTCGGCATGTACAAATGTTTGGGGTCGACTTTTCTAACCCCCTCTCTCCGGAGTGGAGAGACAGCATAGTGGGTCGGCTGGCATGCTGGTCATCTGAGGGAAACACACCACTGCTGTTACACCCCTGTTCCACAGCAGTAGGTCTTCGCCCTCAGCATAGCGTAAGAAAGATTCTTACACGATACCGGTAACTGCTTTTAGTCTAATCGCTATCCTAACAACCTTCCTGGCATAGTAGGACCTGTCTGTCTGTCTGTTTTCGACATAGAACTTTGCACAAATGTGCGGAAGTTCAAGTCGCCACATTCCGTGTAGCACGCGAAGCAAGAGAAGAAAGTACAAGAAAAGCATAATAGAAACAGTGAGCAGAGGTGTGAGACAAAGGAATAGTAGTAACGAAGAACAAAACAGTTTCATTGGAGATCATAAGTCACAAGGAGTGGATGCATCTGCGCTAGCCACTGAGAACGATTTTGAGGCATGTCACCAATTGTTTCCAACCATTGATTTTTACCGTCTCGAGGACCCCAGCCTGGAAGTCTACACCTTCCTACGTGACTGGCTTAGACCAACTGTTGTGGATTTCATTGACTGGTGCCGCGTTTTTGTTTGACCGCCGCTAGCTTTTTTCCAGCCTGACCCTATATCCGCTAACATTGCTCGTCGAGGGAGGCGATGGCTTGGCATACGTAACACATGTCCTAACCATCTCAGTCTTTGTAGCTTCACGACTTCGTCGATTGATTTCCCCTGTTCACCTAGACCTCGACGCCTAACCTCCATGTTGCTCACCTTATTATGCCACTTTACACGGGAAATAGAACGCAGGCACCTATGATCAAAGACAGATAGTCTTTTCATGTCTTCCACTCTCAGTGGCCAGGTCTCACAGCTAGCCATAAAGGAGGACGGAGCGGACTGATGAGCAGTACACCCGCCCTTTGGTCGATAGTCGAACATCTCGTCTACGCCAGAGTCGGCGTAAACTAACAAATGCGAAACGAGCCCCTTGTATTCGTGCTGAGATTTCGTCAGAGATCAACCCTTTGGCGTTGGCTGATGGTACTTCCCAAATAAGTGAAGCGGTCAACGTGTTCTACCACTTCACTTCCTATTTTTAAACTAGGCGTCGATGTAGTCCAGTCCTGTAACACCAGGACCTGCAGTAGGACCTGCAGGAATATTGGTTCCAGCCAATGTAGCTTGTTGGGCCATCGCGATGTTCAAGCCCAAAACACCATGTCAAGGTGACAGCTATCGGTCAGAACTGGAGATACAAATAATGTGACAAGTGTGTATTCAGTTCATGTATAGGTTAAGTAAAGCTAAGACTGACACATATAGATGCATATGAATTGAAAATTGTAACAGTGAGGCATTAAATAAGAACTAACGACCGCGGAAAAAATTGATCATGACATGAACCACACAATCTCTCTCTCTCTCTCTGGTGAGGCTGCATTACACACAATCAAAAAGTAACACATACACAACATACACACGCAAAAAATTAGGAGACTAACCTTTAACCACTTGTCGACACAATCTGCATGAAATTCATGAGAACAACGCATTTGACGAATGTGCTGACTCTCTTCATAATCATCTAAGCATATCATGCATCGATCACATTCATCCGATGGATTGTCATCATCTTCTTCTTTAGTAGTAGTAGTGGTGGTAGTAATGTGTGTCGCAGTAGACGCTGCATTATCATCATCGAAATATTTGTTCCCGTTGTTGTTTGTCTTAGACACATACAAACGAAGCGGTAGACTTTCCAACTCCTCTTTGCTAAGCCCACGACCGCCACCACCAACACCATTAGTAGTCGATTCTAGCTGAACTGCCAAGTGGATTAGAGTATCAACACTGGCAGCGGCGGCAGCAGCTGCTGCAACGGCCGCAGCGGCAGCCGCCGCTGTCGCTGCTGAAGTAGGATCAGATACAACACTTTGAGATAGAAGCGAATTTCCATTGGAGAATCGAACTGACTGATGATCAGTGTAATGCGTGAATAAGCTTTCCGAGAAATTGTTGACTGTAAAGCCTGTAGTAGCTGATGAATTGGTGTTGTTTGAGGTAGTAGGTGGTGTGGGTACAGCCAATAGAAATGGAAACAGACTAGTTAGATAAGCTGGGGTGGTTGTGCCGCTGCTACTACTACTTGTCGCTGCTGCAAATACTGGACCAATTGAAGAATTCGATTGGACAAAACCATTTGTCGATGAATTAGGCATAGAGGCGGGCCGTTGAGAAATACTATGTTGGTGTTGTACACCGCCGCCATAATGGCTATGATAACATTGTTGATGAGCATTATGTTGTAGCTGTTGCACTGTTGCCACATTTCTAGGATAATATAAATGAGCGTGTAAGATTGGTACTGGTATAGAAGGCGTCGGTGCAGCTCTAGATGGAGTCAGCATTGAAATAGCGTTGGATGATGCATGTCTATGGCTTTGTTGCTGAAGAGCAACGGCTGCAGCCATAGCAACAGCTAGTGCGGCAGCTGCTGAAGTAATCGGCTGAACACTAACTGGAGACGGAAGTGTTGTTGTCTGTAGATTATCCAATAATAGATTGGTTTGAACACTTCTCCGACTTTCTGCATAACCAGCAGCCAATAATGATGTCTGAGGAGGAGGAACAATAGGATGATGTGGTACTAGGGGCGGCGTGACAGCCGATGCAACTCGAGTTCCATTGGCGACGCCGGCTGAAGCACTCACTACAACACTTTGGTTAGAACCTCCAGCTGTAGCAGTCATAGCAGAAGGATAGTATGGTAATGCGTACGAATCCTGGATAAGAAAAATGCATAGTCAAATGACAGTTATATCATGAATATACCCAAAGGTAAAACAAATTTTGTTTAAGCATTAAAAACAGCATTACTTCATTTGTTCGCGACCAACAATCACAGTTAGTCATTACACACACACGCACACACACGCACCTAGTCTTTAGAACTGAATTAGATGCTATTTTGAACATTAATCGCAATAAAACACTAGTCATCACCTTGGAAATGTATCTTAATAACTTTATCCTTTGGAATTTCAACTAAACAGCATCACAACTTGCATAACTCTGTAAAGTATAGCAGCTGTGTACTTAGTTATTGACTTGAAAAATAAACCTGGAGATTGCAATCGTCTTTGAGAATAAGAGAAGCGGTACAACAAGAAGTTCGCATGCAGTGTCTAAACTGCTCAGCCAACTTGATCTTCCTCAGATCTTTTGACTGTGAAGCAGTGTACACACTTTCACCAGAGATTATTTGCTTTTCTGTTGAGATAATCAGGGAATATTCCTTCACATTACTTTTTATCAACATCTGAACAAAGAAGCCAAAAAATGATAATCATTTTGGGGACTGAGTGCAAACTATGGCTATTTCGTTGTCTCTCTCTTTTACTCACTTTCCTGCAATAATTTTTTTGATGTGCTACGCCATGAGCCACACTTACTGTTTGAGGACTAATGGTGCTAACGAGTTTCCGCCAGAGTTGAATGAAGTAGGTGGGACGGGACTCGAACCCAGGGGGTTGTTGACTGACAAACAATACTGCACACAACATGTGATTCAATCAGAATGGTTATTCATTCGTTATACTGTTTTACAACACATCCGTAAATAAGATGCAATAATATATGTAATGATACAAAAATGGCAATTAGGAGAACTGAAAAACTATAAAAGTTACACAATCTTAACACAGAAATCTTCTTCATATAAAAAAATACGAGAAAATGTTTTGAGATTTTAATGCATATGATCTAGATAAGTCTTATGATTAATATTTCTTCTGAATGAGTTTACTTTTGCATTCGTTGTCGCTATAGTCAGTCACGTTACACACACATACATATATATACACGAGAAAATATCTATGAAAACATCATGACTAGCCAGTAAATTTCAGTTTTTTAAATCCATTTACAACACAAGGTGACTATTGTTTCCATTATTATATTATTTTATTATTGTTCCCTTGGGTTCCTAGTGGAACATAGGGCTTCAAACTGCACGTCTACACTTGCCACTTATGTCTTCCTTCTGCTGTACTTTTCACCTGCATCCATGTTACTCCATACTATTTCAACTCCTCTTCACACCATCTCCTCCATGTCACCCCATCCTCGCATTGACCTCCCACTCGCCACTTCCCTTTCAGATTCTACTCGAGTGATGTCTGTCTGTCTGGATTCAACATAGAACTTGGCACCGAAGTGCAGCAGTTCGAGTTGCCACGTTCCAAATAGCACACAGAGGTAGACAAGAAGATGAGTGAAGAGAATCAATAGAGTTTGACAAGTATAAGAGTGAAACAGAATGGGTAATGGTAGAGAGGAATATGAAAGGTTACAGAGATTGAATACATCTGCGCCATTGACAACGATTTTGAGCCATGTCACCTATAGTCTCCAGCCATTGATTCCTAGAGTCCCGAGGGCCCCAACCCGGGAGTCTGCATCTCCCTACCTGACTCAGTTTAACTGTCAAGGATTTCATGGATTGATGCCACGTTTTTGTTTGGCCACCACTGGCTCTTTTCCAACCTGAACCTATATCAGCTAACAATGCCCGTTGGGGGAGGCGGTGGTTAGGCATGCGCAGCACGTGACCTAGCCATCTTAGTCTATGTAACTTTATAACCTCGTCGATTGATTTTCCCTCTTTGCCCAACACTCTACGCCTAACGTCAACATTACTTATCTTGTGAAACCACCTAACGTGAGACAGAGATCGCAGACATCTATGATCGAAAGCAGTCAACCTTTTCATGTCTTCAACGCGTATTGGCCATGTTTCAGAGCCATAGAGAAGGACGGAGCGAACTGATGAGCAGTACACACGTCCCTTGGTTGATAACCGGATGTCACGCCTACGCCAGAGATGGTGTAAGTCAGCGAAAGCAGCTCGAGCTTTTCGGATCCGTGCTGAGATTTCATCGCCAATCAGTCCGTTGGTGCTAATACAACTTCCCAAGTAGGTGAAGTGGTCAACATGTTCTATCACTTCACTCCCTATCACTAAGTTAGGGGTTGACGTCGTCCAGTCCTGTAGCAGCATCTTACATTTTGCAGGGGCGAATACTCGAGTGATGGCCTGACGCGCGCGCGATGTCACCCAGCGGCCTACTCAGCCAGTGTCTAATCCATCTCCATTCACTTTCTCCTGAATATTTGTTGGGCGATTGGTTCTTGTTTTGTTTGTTTGTGCCCATAGTTTCTTGTTGGTGATTCTTTCCTGCCCGGTCATCTGATCTTCAGTATAGATCCAGCGAAGACAGTTGGTTGTTGATAAAAGTAGGTCTGCAATAGCCTGTTGGAGGAAATATTCTTTGTGACCCGCCCGCCAAGTTTCTCATCCGTTTCGTATAGAAGAACTGACTGACTTGACGTTGTTTCTATTGAAAATCCGACCGAATTTTGTTGTTGACGCTGCTGAGTGACGAAGATTTCCAGATTAGATTGGTTTCAGGTTGATGAATGTGTGTGTTTATCGCCCCCCTTCCCGATTCTCACTCGATTTGTCAACCTCGTCCGTTCCGACATCCTGTAGTTGAGACAATGCTCAATGCTACATAGGCGAATGAAGGAAGTAACCTCTTTCAAATCCCTCCCGTTTATGGTGATTGGCGATGAATGTTGTTAGTACTGTTGCTGTTGTTGTAGGTTGGTTAGTTGGTTGATTATTTTCATAACCTCCGTCTTGTCTATGTTCACCTGGAGTCCTGTCTTTGCCGGCTGCTTCTTCGACCAGTTTTTCGGTCGGTTTTTGCTTGTAAGTCTTCGATTTTGTGTGACATCAAACATAAATCATCCACACACGAAATCCAGGTCTTCTAGGTTCTTAATGTCGGTTCAGGATATCCCTGTCTTCTCATTTCCCACTGTCTGACGAATAATCCAATCCACCAGTTTCTATTAGCCTGTGAAAAAGCTACACCAGTGAAGATAAGGCATGGAACTCATATACTTATACACGTTAACTGACTAGCCGCCAGTAAGAATTTTGCAACTTGAAACTTCACACTGACGACAACGAGCCTTTGTAAAATGATACGGATGCAAGGAATCAGGAATGGTATTCTTGTTAATTAAAAAGAAAAAAAGTGATATAAGAAGCCAAATTAACAATACTAGCTACTTTTCATAAATTAAATTTTTAGAAATCAAAACAGTAGTATAGAATTTTTGTTTTCTAATTAGTGAAATAGTGAGACCAAAAATTCATGAGAAATTTTTTTCTTCTATCGAAATATTTCTTAAGCTTTCTGATCTCCTCCTATTCGTCAGACAAACTATGTATGCTCTTGCTAACTTTCCTTTCCCTTTCATTTTTGTTCATAATGTGTGCGTCAGTGGCACAGAGGTAGAATGCCCACGTCCCATGTGGTTCGGGTTTCAAGCTCCGGCTGACGCACTCCTTTACATCGCAAAGCCAGTAGGAGGACTGGTAAGGAGGGAAGGTTTGCAATGAGGCTGGTCACCCCACCTGTAGGGTATGACTGAGTTTTTGTACTTGCCAGTGCGAGAATATAGTTTCCTATATAGACTTCTGTTTCTGCGTGATGAGATACAAGTGGAGAGTTGTGAATGAAGAGTGTGAGTGATGTGAGTTGGATAAAATGGATTGAGCCCATTTTTCACGAGTCCAAGTGCCTGTGGACCAGAATATTAACAATCTGGTTAAGTGGCACGTTGTTTACCCTGCTGACAACCTTTAACATCGTGCGTAATAAGGTATAGTCTTTTTTTAGTAGCCCAGGAAAACCCAGGGGGGGCAATTGAGAATAATAGACAGAATGCGAGAGTTAACGAATCGTAAGAGTAAGGGCTGGGTTGGGTTATTCCAGAATGTCTTAACTTCTTGATGTAGAAGGTAAGACGGAATACTCTTTTTAGAGATCATCAAGATATGAGACGACCAGGAAAGATCAGCATATAGAATGACGCCTAGATATTTAATTTCCGACTTGGTTTCTATTTCAGTGCCATCCATCTATGTTGCACACCTCGTAAGATTTATTCGCAAAGACTTAAAAACTGGTGTGGAAAACAGCAGGTAACTTAAGCCTCGTTTGAAAAACTTTAGACAAGTCAACTTCTTAGATAGACATTTTGCAATGTGTAGTCAGTCACCAGGCGATTCAATGACTTAAAAGATTGAGAAAGGAGACGTTTCTCAAGAAACTGCATACAATCCTTCCGAATAATAAACTTGAAGAAACAATGTAACTTTGATGCATTTGTTTAAATATAATTTGCTATATTAGGATGAGTAATTGAAAATATAAAATCATCGAAGACGTTGCGAAATGGTCACACTATGTCGTGAACTGGAAGAAGTTAGAATTTAAGAACCATTGGATCGTATCCCAGTACCTCAATGGTCTACGAGCTAGCTCGCATTATAACCAGAAAGTCCTGGGTTCAAACCCTGGTGGTGGGTGCGTACTGATGAAGAGTCCCAAACTAGGACGAAACAGCTGTCCAGTACTCCCAGGTTTTCCAATGATTCTCTAACCAATGTCAGCTCATGGTGAAATCCTCCATACAATCAAACAAAATCCCTACAAAACCAATACTTGAAAATATAAAATCTCTAATGCTAAGGGGTATATATACAGTTTATATATAAATATAATGAACAAACTTACAGGTCTTTGATGAATAAGTCTAAGAAATTGTAGTAATGTATTGACACCACGAGTTGTGGCTAGTGTAGACGGGCCAATAGTTGATAATTGTGGTCTCAATGGAAGTACCGGTATAGGCGTAACAGACGAAAATGATGGAGGTAGATAAAGAGAAATTGATGCATTATGCGAAGCGGTTGTTGCTGACGACAAACTAACAATACTCGGTAAGAAATTCATTGGATTATTCAGATCAGTGAATTGATTATTATTATTGTTATTAACAGGTGAGTTATTTGTATTATCTATAGACACAGTAGCCGTGGCGGCAGCGGCAGCAGCAGCAGCAACTTCTGTAGGCAGATTAGAATACACTGATGACTGATAATGCGATGCAGCATTACCTGGCGCTGAAAAAGTGTTATTCAATAGATTTGATTGTATATGATCTGAAAACGTCAACGGGGTGGAGATGAAATTCGACGCGGAATTCTGTGCTGATATAGATAATCCTGAAGTAGGCATAGGCATTGTAAATCGAAATGTGTTAGTGTTATCATTAGTTGCACTAGTGACATGTGAGATTGTTGTTAAAGGATAAGAAGGAGGAGAAGAAGAAGAAGAAGACGTGTCAACCAATTCACTTGTACTTGGAATGAGTGTTAATCCATCAGAGGTAGTAAAAGCTGGTAGAATTGAATGCAGCATGGTGGATGAAGCAAGTTGTCCCAAACCTAAAATATGATACAAAATAAAGGGTAGACGTATCATCAACTGAAATTCTTCAGAACAAAAATAGAAACTAATATACTGTTTTTTATTGGAAGCATTAAAAAAAAGAGCTGCTAACATATTTACACTTCGTAATAGTTATACGCATCATCATCGAACAAAGCATGGAATGGCAATCAAACTTGTCTCTACTTCAACTTTATAGACTTTGAGAAAGCCTTCGACAGACAGCGTTGATCGCGAAGTAATTTGAAAACTACACGAGAACTACGGCGTGCAGCGCCCAAATATTCATCAACCTTAGTCAACAGCTGTACGACAATGGCACATGTCAAGTGATAAACAACGGAAGACTCGCCGAGAGGTTTGGAGTAAACACAGGAGTCAGACAAGGGTGCCTACCTATTACCTCCAATGATATTCCTAATTGTGGTGTACTGACTGCATTATGCGTCAGATAGTGGGAAATGAGAAGACAGGGATATCCTGAACCGACATGAAGAACCTAGAAGACCTGGATTTCGTGTGTGGATGATTTATGTTTGATGTCACAAAATCGAAGACTTACAAGCAAAAACCGACCCACAAACTGGTCGAAGAAGCAGCCGGTAAAGACAGGACTCCAGGTGAACATAGACAAGACGGAGGTTATGAAAATAACCAACCAACAACAACAACAGCAACATCCAGCGTCAGTCGCCATCAACGGGAGGGATTTGAAAGAGGTTACTTCCTTCATTCGCCTATGTAGCATTGAGCATTGTCTCAACTACAGGATGTCGGAACGGACGAGGTTGACAAATCGAGTGAGAATCGGGAAGGGGGGCGATAAACACACACATTCATCAACCTGAAACCAATCTAATCTGGAAATCTTCGTCACTCAGCAGCGTCAACAACAAAATTCGGTCGGATTTTCAATAGAAACAACGTCAAGTCAGTCAGTTCTTCTATACGAAACGGATGAGAAACTTGGCGGGCGGGTCACAAAGAATATTTCCTCCAACAGGCTATTGCAGACCTACTTTTATCAACAACCAACTGTCTTCGCTGGATCTATACTGAAGATCAGATGACCGGGCAGGAAAGAATCACCAACAAGAAACTATGGGCACAAACAAACAAAACAAGAACCAATCGCCCAACAAATATTCAGGAGAAAGTGAATGGAGATGGATTAGACACTGGCTGAGTAGGCCGCTGGGTGACATCGCGCGCGCGTCAGGCCATCACTCGAGTAGAATCTGAAAGGGAAGTGGCTAGTGGGAGGTCAGTGCGAGGATGGGGTGACATGGAGGAGATGGTGTGAAGAGGAGTTGAAATAGTATGGAGTAACATGGATGCAGGTGAAAAGTACAGCAGAAGGAAGACAGAAGTGGCAAGTGTAGACGTGCAGTTTGAAGCCCTATATTCCACTAGGAACCCAAGGGAACAATAATAATAATAATAGTAATATTTTAAAAAATAATAAATTACAATTACCCGTGTAGATATTTGGAATATGTAAATTGATATCTGAATTACAGGCAAAGTTTCCGGTGTTACCACCACCACCAGCAGTGGACGCAGACGAATAAAATGTTGAAGGATCAAATATACCTTGAGATGAAGATAAATTACACATCGACGTTGGACGATGGATACTGAATGAATTCAATACATTATTTGTAGATGCCCCTGATATGAATTGAGACTGTCTATAATTGAATCCATGTTGACTTACTACTAGATTGTTATGATCCCTGTGGTCGCATAGATCAGAAATTAGATGATTTACCGGGCAGTTATTATTACATTCAAGAGGCTGAGATGTACATTGGCCAAGTGGATCAATAATTCGCTGATTCGGTATAGCATGCATAAGAACAGAACTGTTCGAATGTGATGGAAATGTCTGCAATCCAGAACGATGCTCTGATGCTCTTCTATGATGATGATGATGAACAGCAGCTGAAACAGCTTGAGCGGCAGCAGCAACTGCATGCGCTGCAGCAGAAGCGACAACAGCTGCGGCGACAACTGTTGCTTCTTCTGGATGATGAGAAGTAGGCGAGGGGACTACAAAGTTTGCAGTAGATCCATTCATCTCAGAACGTGAGAAACACGATTGTGTGAATTGTTGTACACTTTCGTTTGCACCACTACCACAATGACGAGATCTTAAACCTCCAGATCCATTGGAGCTCAAACCATCGAAACAGACATTTATTGGCTTTAAATTAAAAAGTAAAATGCCACATAATTTGAAAACAAATCAATAAATACTATGTGTAACTCAAAAGAACTGAAATGCTCTCTCATGTAAGTTTTTAACATAAACCATTTAAAGCACCAGTCGATGAGATGCACTCGCAAATCATAATAAACACTTGGCTCTCACTTGCTAGGTTTCTAATGCAACCTTAATAAAAAGAAATGAGACGATAAGAAAGACAAAGGTACTCACAGATAGGAGCATACAGCTAGGTTGAATATGTTGATGATGGTGAAGCTACAAGAAGGCACATCAACAACACATCAAGCTGCTCAGCAGACATCATCCAGTTGAACAACTCGATTTTTCAAGCTACAGATATTAACTACTTCCACGATAAATAAATTTTTATTTTCATTAAAGTGAAACTCTGACAAAGATGACAGCACAATTCTGATGAAACAGTTGTGACAGTTGATATACCAGTGTAAATACCAACCTATATATGTAAGCGAGGGACAAACAAGATCTATTCATAGCTAGCTCTGTTTTACCACACCTTGTAGATATAGTGAGCATAAGATGGACGTTAATACTGCATTTAAAATTATTTACCGCATTCCTACTAACTTTAATTTTGCTTTACGACTTCGTCTTCTACAGACAGCTGAAGCAATAGGAATCCAACTGTGGAAGAAGCCAAACCAGTGTGTGTTCAGAAGAAATTTGTACACCCACTTTCCTTACCTTGGCCATCGTTACATAAATGTATAAACCGGACTACTTCGCCTTCCTCCCTTAGACCTTTAAAAATTTTAAATGTCCAGATTATTTTATTTTTTCTGACTACTTCATCTTTAATTACGCGTTATCCTTGTAAAATTATTTTATTCTTATGACCACACTTCATCCTTAGTTACAAGTTATCATTGTCCCAGTCGTTTTACTTTCTTTTACAACCTGTTACGTAATCAACCTGTGCACACGCTTATTCCTTGCTTAATTACTCTTCATTTTTCCAAAATTGCGCATGCATTATGCAACCCATGTGTTGTAACACCATTTCTGCCTTTTAATTGTGTAATTTTCTTCGTTAATTATCACCCCATCCCTGACGTGTTGACACTGACTAATTATTGTTAACAAACACATCAGTGTCAGCCACTTGATTAGTAAATTGTTGTGTATTGTAATAAAAATGCTATAAATAATATATTAGAGTAGAGCCAGAGATGAGGATCTAATTGAAAAGTAAATATTTCTTCGCTCACTCAATCTTTCTGTTTTCTAAAATTAGCAATGATGTAAATGTATTACTATCGCTACCTGTCTATATTAATATATCCTTTCCTCAGTTACTTTTTCTTCATAAAATGTTGAACATCATGGAGACAGACCTCAAGCAATTCACTATACTCACACGTAGGCTCTACAAGTTATTTCATCTATCCACTCAAATGTGAGTAGTCTAGAAACAAATTAAAGGACTATATCTGTAGTTCCTATGAATAATGTATGACTATCTAGTTGTTTTTTTAATTACTGTAGGGTGTGAGGACAAATACTCGCCGAAGACATTGGGTAACGGTCGCGCTATATCGTGAATTGGCAGAAGTTAGAATTCATGGACTGGCCATTGGATCGGGTCTCAGTGGCTTAATGGTCTACGAGCTAGCTCTCCTTGTAACAAGAAGGTCCTGGGTTCGAACCATCGTGGTGGGTGCGTACTGCTGAAAAATCCCAAACTAGAACTAAACAGCTATCCAGTACTCCCAGTTGGTTTTTCAATGGTTCTCTAACCAATGTCAGCTCATGATGAAATCCCGTAACAAATCAACCAAATCCCTACAAACCAATACTTGAATTTCAAATTTCCAACTGTTGTATGCTAAAATGAGATGGGTTATTTTTACAAGTGTTGATCTGCAGGGATTCGATTGGTTGCAAAATGTGATCACGAGCTGAGATCAATTAGAAGGCCTATAGAAAACCACCATGGACAGCTGTTTTGTGCTGCAACTAATCAATTTCCTACGAACTAACCAACACTTGATAATTAATCTGATATTCACTAACGATTGGCACTATGCAGGAAGTTTACCGGAGTTCTAGTGAGATCAGTCGTGATCAGCGGAATCCATCAAGTCATGTAAGAGGAGAGTTACTCTCTCTCTCTCTCTCTCACCGATGACATAGTCTGATAGTTTGGGGCTATACACATATAGCGAATTGGTAAAAGTTGGAATTGACGGGCCAGTATATCGGGTCTCAGTGGCTGAGTAGTCCTACGGGTTTTCCTTGTAACCGGAAGGTCTCTTAAGTTCAACCCCCGATGGATATGTACAGCTAGGAAGGGTTTCAATAATCTACCTAGAAATTAAGCTATAGACCTCTCTCATATGGAAGCAGATTAGTGCAGAGATGTCCTGACCAAATACGCTTTCAGATATTTACAAGATCTCGTCTCTGATTAAGACATCAGAAAAAATTTTTTTCAAAACTCTGTTTCAAGTCTACGGGTGAGACACAAAATGAATTTTCCGCAAGTTCGGGTGGGAGTGTGAGGAATGTTTATCCTCTATGGGTTTAACGGTTTTGGTTTATTCGAGAAAACGGATTATCAAATTATAAAGGTATAAATTTCACAAGAAATAAAACATACATTTTTATTTATCACAGTTGAACTGGACTGATCACCTTGTGATGCAATATTAGATTCCAGGGCATAGGTGGGCCGCCGCTGCTGAGAGTCAACAGATTCTAGAAAACTGTTGCTGGCATTATTACTGTTTGATTCTACAACTGCAGTATTACATCCAGAAGCGTAGGCAAACGACAATACATCACTGCGATTAGTGCTTTGAGACGACAGCTCAGAATCAGACGTAAGAAGATCAGATTGTTCGGCCACTGTATGATGCATACAATCTATAGGAAAGCAGGGGAAAAATGGTATAAAATCACCACTGAAAATATATATAGTAAAATACCAGTGAACAAAGTTGAACAGGAACATGAAACCTCACCAGAGCAACTTGAAACTGAAAATTCTGAATGATGGTGCCTCTTGATTTCAGGATAAAGGGTAAAGTAGCCAAATACGATAACTGTCCTACTTATTTTAGACGTCTCGTCTCCGCAGATGGGCAGATGATACGCTAAGAAATCCTAGCACAAATACGAGAAATACACTTAATATTTGCAAATTTGTACCCCTTTTCATATCCATCAGTTGTTTGATTGTCAATCAGACGACAAGCTTACTCAAGTAGCAATCTGTTTTTCGCCACTCTACACCTCCGCAAGCCTTAATCGTTGAGGATGTAGGAAAAAATGTCACATTGTTTCACAAAGTGTTTTCATAGTGTTGCTTATATCAAATGAAACCAGGGGATCTATACAATGGTGAGGGGTGATATACAGCGTAGGATGAGAAAGGTAAACCAACGCATACGACTGTAAGTCTCAGCTGATTCGAGTGGCCGCAGCATGTGGTCTGTCTGTCTCTGTCTGTTTTCGACATAGAACTTTGCACAAATGTGCGGAAGTTCAAGTCGCCACATTCCGTGTAGCACGCGAAGCAAGAGAAGAAAGTACAAGAAAAGCATAATAGAAACAGTGAGCAGAGGTGTGAGACAAAGGAGTAATAAAGAAATACAAAACAGTTTCATTGAAGATCATAAGTCACAGGGAGTGGATGCATCTGCGCCACTGAGAACGATTTTGAGCCATGTCACCAATTGTTTCCAACCATAGATTTTTACCGTCCCGAGGACCCCAGCCTGGAAGTCTACACCTTCCTACGTGGCTGGCTTAGACCAACTGTTGTGGATTTCATTGACTGGTGCCGCGTTTTTGTCTGACCGCCGCTAGCTTTTTTCCAGCCTGACCCTATATCCGCTAACATTGCTCGTCGAGGGAGGCGATGGCTTGGCATACGTAACACATGTCCTAACCATCTCAGTCTTTGTAACTTCACGACTTCGTCGATTGATTTCCCCTGTTTACCTAGAACTCTACGCCTAACCTCCATGTTGCTCACCTTATTATGCCACTTTACACGGGAAATAGAGTGCAGGCACCTATGATCAAACACAGCTAGTCTTTTCATGTCTTCCACTCTCAGTGGCCAGGTCTCACAGCTAGCCATAAAGGAGGACGGAGCGGACTGATGAGCAGTACACCCGCCCTTTGGTCGATAGTCGAACATCTCGTCTACGCCAGAGTCGGCGTAAACTAACAAATGCGAAACGAGCCCCTTGTATTCGTGCTGAGATTTCGTCAGAGATCAACCCTTTGGCGTTGGCTGATGGTACTTCCCAAATAAGTGAAGCGGTCAACGTGTTCTACCACTTCACTTCCTATTTTTAAACTAGGCGTCGATGTAGTCCAGTCCTGTAACATCATCTTGCATTTGGCGGGAGCGAATCGCATGCCAAACATTCGTAGATTGCGGCTCAAGGTGTTTAGGAGACTCTGCATTTCGTCAGCGTCTTCGCCTAGAAGGACTATATCGTCTGCATGTGGTGCGCATGCTTAATCACTACCACACTCAGTAAAAAACTTTAGCCGATTGAAGGAAGTTAAGAGCACTTAGACCAAAACATGGAACCATTCTAATTTTCTTGGTTGTTATGAGTCATATACGTAAACGTAAATTGTCTGGCTGGGGTTAGTGTGATGGCAATAGTTAAATAATACGATATCTGGTGAAATTAATCGGTTGTACAGATAAATTCACTTCTTTTTATTATCTTTGAAACTTGGAACATCTCCACTTATCTTACTTCAAATACTTTCTTTCTTACAACCCTTTAGCTTCATTTAATGACATTCCATTTTTGATTGCTTTTTCCTGTGCCGTTGTGGAGTGTGGAGGCTTAAAATGATGCCCTTTTTGAAGGGTTCTGTCTTTTGTTTGTTTCTCTCTCTATTTTTTTTGTCCGTTACAAGACTTTTTGATGATTTTAAAACAAGCAATAAAGGTTAATAAAGCAGGATTTAAGGAATTCAACAAATTTCGGTAGAACTCCTCCTGATCAGCTGAATACTCTACATACACGGATATATATACTTTTGAAATTACATTGGGAGATATAAGACTGATAAGTAAACAAACTAAATTGAATTAGTCATGCAGAAAGACACATGCGAATGTTTTCCAGGTCATGTTCAAATAGGTAAGGGGAGAGAGAGAGTATGAGAGATCAAAATTAAGATAAATTGCATTACGCTTCAATTGCATCACTTAGATAAACAATTAGTCATTAGTGAATATAACAAGAATTGCAAACAGACTAATATCAATAGTAATAGGTATAATAATAATAATAAGTGTTGAGGTGAGTTAAAATAATGCTACCGATAAAGGATAGTTTTAAATGAATCAATAATAATAAGATAGAATAAGTAAAACCTATTACCATAGTAGATCCTCGACACCTCAAACTGTTTCTATCAATTTGAGTGAGTTTGTGGAAACAAATACATAGGTTGTACGGTAAGGCGATTGTCTACTCGCATGATGGAGCATTTGCCGAAATGGTTGAAAACAGCTGAGTGCAAAGTGCCAAAATCCTCAATAAGAAAACATCTTGTGGATTACGGACATGATATCGACGGGGTCAAGTCATTCACTATTGTCAGCAGACAAAGAAACAGGAAGATGTTTGCAATTGCAATTGCCATATCTGTGTACACAAGGAGATGGTCGTGACTCTGAATCTACCATGGTTATACGTTTTACTTACTATTATTATCATTATTATTTTTATTATAACTATTACTATTGATATTAGTCTGTTTGCAATTCTTGTTATATTCTCTAATGATTAATTGTTTATCTAAGTGATGCAATTGAAGCGTAATGCGATTAGTCTCAATTTTGATCTCACATACTCTCCCTCCCCTTATCTATCTGAACATGGTCTGGAAAACATTCGCACGTGTCTTTCTGTATGACTAATTTAATGTAGTTTGTTTACTTATCAGTCTTATATCTCCCAATGTAATTTCAAAAGTATATATATCCGTGTATGTAGAGTATTCAGCTGATCAGGAGGAGTTCTACCGAAATTTGTTGAATTCATTAAATCCTGCTTGTTTTAACTTCGTATCGGGAAATGTTTTCAAGATCCATGATCATGGTTGCAATATATATATATATATATATATATATATATATATATATATATATATATATATATATATATATATATATATATATATATATTAAGGGGGACAGCCATTGGAAAAATAATCAGGCTATGAAATCGAAACTCTTCGCAAACCTACCCGAATGTATATCATCTGTTCCTGGCGACTCTGTAGATTCTTCAACCTCCGTACATTCAATTGGATCACAGTTGTTTGCATTTTCAGAATTATTATTTGACAGGATATTTTCACTATGCGAAATAAGGGGATTTTGTGAGGAGACTGAAGAATTCAGTTGATGATTACAATGTGCAGCAGCAGACGTTAATGTTGATGAAAAAGACGGTGGTGACTGTGGATCTCTGCCTTTGTTAGTAACCACTGAAACTTTATAAGAATATTTGCAAATGTTATTGAAGTAAAATAGAAAAAGAACGTACAACAGTATAAGTCTTATCAATTCAAAATGAATGGTTTTAACATATTTTACTAACATATAAACCTCCTTATTAGCGGAGTTTGAAACTATGATCACCACTACTTACTAACACGTATGGAATGACATCACGAATAGGAAACGAGCTGTGCATGTGTGTCTGAAGGTGATATATGGAGATCATGCGAGGAGATGAGACTATGGGCAACTGTGGGGCCAGATAAAGACGGCCGCAGAGGACAGGGAAAAGTGAAGATGTGCTGTTGAAGCCATATATTCCACTTCGAAACCAGGGGAACAACAGCATAAAATACTAATTTTGACCAGTCAAATTGACCTACGTCATACAGCTGATACTTCAGACTTAATGATAAAATACAAGTGGAGAACAGCTGCAGCACTATGTGCATATGACATAAGCAGTAGTGTGCTAACCATAGTATATCATTTTTGTATTAAACAACAGTACTATTTGGCTACTTAGTATAGCTTTTCATATGTTAAGTTCTGCGGACCTAAGATACTGATTGGTTACTCAGACCAAAATAGATTCCAAACTTACTGACTGAGCGCAATGCTTAACACAAGTTAACCATATCTCAAAGAGAAATAAACACAAGACAGAATGTATGCACATGGAGAGCAACTCCATAAGGTCATAAGATATCCCACCACTCTAGGAACCGCATCATAGAAACACAATCAGAACATAACATAAGCTGGGTGATCCAGCCTATGTGAAAAGTGATTGTGTATTCCAAGACGCACACAACTAGATCAGCGTGTATGCAGTCCAGAAGGAAACATGATGATTTCAGTACTACGCCTAAGAACAACAAGCCAGGTGGGAGCAATTAGAAGATTATATACGTAAGGCTAAGTGAATAATCAGAGTGCACAAAATCTCATAGATACTAGCTATCAACAATTAAAATTAAACTCATTCTCATTAATAACGAAAACACCCACATTACTTTTAATATTAAGGTGCGTAAAACACAGAAGTTTTAATCAATAAAACTGAAGTTCAGGAATATAAAGACAAGTGAACGGAGAGATCATTTATATTACAGCATATATTAAATTACAGAAGTTGAATAGTAGTCAGTAAAATGAACAGTTTATACACCTAAGCAGAAGTTAGTCATTAAAAAATAGGAAGATATAGTGTCTAGAATCAGATAAAATTTAAGATGTTGATAACCACATTTCCCAATGAAATCGAAAGGATGAACCAGTTGGGAGGTATTTAAAACTGAAATAGTTGCCAGATCATAAAAGTGAACAAGAACACAGTAGCAGTCAAGTGCAGTAGTCTACAATGAGACCAGAAATAGTTTAAATCGTCAGAATGTGTGATTAATTTATGAGTGGGGCGAAAATTTCTGCTATTTGAGCTGAAAAGGCTGTCTAGAAGTACAGTAAGACTATTTATTCATTTTGAAGAAAATAAAACTGACGAAGCTTTTCACTTGTTATAACAAAATTAAGACATAAATTAACACCTCTTTTACTCACACACTAGCGTGTAAATATGATACCAGGATGTATTGAGCATACTGATACACTAATGTTAGAACTTTTCTCATAATAAAATAATGTCACTTGTGGAAAAAAACACAAATGTGTGTAAGTTCTACGTCAACTTGTGATATGGTTTTATTGTAATGTTCCACTGAAAATCTTGTTAAAACAACGAGTACACCTTCACTTAATAATTCTTTCTATTACCTTGTTTTCATGTGACTTTTACTTATAATTATGGTAAATTGTATGCTTACAATATACAAGTGCATAATTTATTCAGATAACTGGTAAATATATCAACTTCAAAGTGCTCACACGAATCATGTCTCATATCTAGCAAAGTAGATGGAAATATTTGAAAACAAAAAAACAACAGTTAAGCTTACCACCCATCTCCTGACGAGTATGTCTGTCATTTACGTCAGTGTGACTGTTTGTTTCATTGCCTTCCGTAAACTCAGATCTTCTTTTAGTACTACCAACACCATTTGAAAATGAAAGCCGATAATTTGGCCGCTTAGTTAGTGCATGTTTCGCTTGAGTGAAACCCCTAGCTCTTGATGTGATTGCAACATAATTTTGACTGCTAGAACAAGGTACCTCTGAAAAAGTCACATTTGTAGCCGGTGGTATAAAGGACTGTTGATGATAGGGTGTACTATTAGTTTGTGTCGCAGCAGCAGCCGCCGCTGCGGCTGCAGCAGCAACTGATACTAAACTAGTGACCTGCTGAAGTTCATTTTGCCAACGATTAGGATGATGCTGAGATGTCGGTAGTACCTGTGACCAATGTTGCTGTAATGAATGCTGGTTAGCAAAAACATTATTTTGACGGAAACTTTCAGGGTTACGACCATCCAAAGATCTGAGAAACCGATGATTAGTCATTTCACACATATTAGGAAGATTAGAAGATGAATGCACTGATAATCCGTTAGGAAAGTGACCATTCCTTGATGATGTACAATAACGACGAGGAAATCCTGCTGATCCAGAAGAAGTTCGTCGTCTTTTTGGCGTAGGCTGCAGAAGTACGTAGTCAGGTTGCTACAATAAAAATCATTAAAAAAAAGGATGTTACAGAAATATTCTTTACTAATGACTTGTGTAATAAGCTAGATATATTTCTCACAGAAGTGAGTGGACGCGTGCAGCAATGACAGGCTCAGCAGGGCTGTGAAGCTAAATTGATCAAGGTGGATAGGACATGTTATGCATGCCAAGATATCGCCCTGCTGGACAAGCAATATTAGCTGACATTACATTAGAATGAAAAAAAAGTTAGGAATGGTCAAACCAAAATACAACATCCATGATGTCTGTAACTGTTGTGGTAAGTCATGTAGGGAGATTTAGACTGCCTGGCTAGAGTCCCGAGTCACTAAGGTGAAGTGACTACGGACCATTGGTGAAATAGTTCAAAATTGTTGTCAGTGACGCAGATGCATTGAATCCTTGTAATGTCCTAGATCCATTAAATACTTGCGATTCTTCATGGGACCATCTTACCTCCCGTCCAATTACGATTTATTTCTTATTTGCATATTTTCCTCTGACTTTATATATGCTTTTATGAGGTGTGGCACCTTGAACTGCTGCACTTTTGTGCACTTTACATATCTAAATACACACGAAAATACTTCTCACTGGCTGAATGGCTCTGAAACGACATTAAACAGATCCATTATCATAGAGATGTAGTTAAAATTTGTGTGTAACCAATTGAAAACTTTTACTTGCCAAAGAAAAGTTTTTTAAACTAGCTGTGCTCTTTACGTCTTAAGTAGTACTGCATGCATGAAAGCGTATATATTAGTGCAACTGATAAATGTAAATAAGCTAGATGAATAACATAAATACGTAATCATCAATGATCGTATGGTATGAGCAACTCCAAGGGAAGAACATTATATTTTGCTACTTAAATAAGAAGAGCTAAGTGTTTTTATGATACTTACTCTGAAATCAGGACACCATGTTCCTGAAACAGGAAGTGTAAGACCGCGGTTGAGCACTGTGGAAAGAAAACAAAAGCATTAGAACAGTGGCGAGCAACGAAAGATGGCAAACTAAAAATATAAGATGAGAGAGATTTTCATTTCAACGCCTTTGGTAAGTAACTATAAAGAAAATGAAAGTTACTGAGTAACCAAGTGCATTTTATATACTTATTTAAAGGTGTTGATTCAACCTGGATGTCTAAACCTGAATAGGTAAAATGTTATTCACACTTATGAAACACCGGCTCAAGGTTTCAAGTGTTAACCCGGTGATCCATGAACTACTAGCGAAAGTCGATAATCAGAAACCTTAAAATTTGGAGTCGAGTTTCTCAACGACTCAGTTCCCAGTACAAGTTCATGTTTGAGATTGTTTTCGAAGAAAAAAATATTTTGATATACAAGCTTGTTTATCGTCGTCGATTCATATGAAGATGTGATTAGTGATATTAGTAGTATTATTATGAAGTGCTGTTTGGACGTGATTACCATTTCTACTTCTGCGCGCTAAGAATACCTGAAATGGTGCAGGACCTTTTACCTAACTTCAAAAATAAGTGATGTGGGCTGCACAGAACCAGAGTAAACTTCGTAAGAGACATTGAGCGAATCGCAAAGAAAAATCTAGTATCATTTCGATTTTCCTGAATAAGAAGCCAAAGCCATGATGTCAAGTCAATCTACTTTAAATACTAATCTAACCCCGAACCTCTGGAATTTAGTTAGAAAAAGTCTTGCATACGACGTAAAATCCTAAGATGTTCAGCGCTGTAGTGCCTATTTTCGAATTTTGAAGGGTTGGACTAACGTTGCTGTATAATGGTTGAACTTGCACAAAAATAAAGGCTGGTTACAGACTACGCCCGGACTGAATTTTGTTGGTTATTGGGACCATATTTAGTTTAAACGACAGTAAAATGCATCAATCAGATTACATCTCACACATAAACTGAGTGAGAGCCAATGACACCAATTTGATCCGATATTTACAGCAGTAAGAAAATGTTAGGACTTCTCGGGCTAATAAGAGTTCATGGCAAATCAACGCTTAGGAAGTGAGTACACCACAACAAGGAAAAAATCATCTACAGCAAAGAACAGAAAAGACTCCACTGGCAAATAACTTACTTCTGTTGAGAGTAAGCGTATTAGATGCTAATTCACTATAATGCAACGTCCGATCTGCGTGGTGATTACATCTTCGACTCGACATATGATCAGCAAGAGAGCTGACTTGCTCTCCAATGTATACATTTTGCTCAGAAGGCGTATGCATTCTGAGATCTTGCTAAAAGAAAACATAACTCACCAAATAAACCAATAAAACTTTTTTTAAAAAGTGAAGTTAAATTAAAAACCTCGAAACTCGTGGGACGACTAACGGCTAAAAATCAACCTTGTGCTAGCACTACTCACAAACAAAACTTGACCAATCCACTACAGTATGTTGACATTCTTATTAGTTACTTAGCTACCGAAAGAGCCCAGACAAAGTTTTAGGGAGATTTCGAGGCAACTAAACGCAAATATTTCGGAGAAATCCATCACTTCTAGCTAGAAAAACCCTGAGCGCCCCGCAGTTTATTCATTGGCAGTATTATTAGCAAGCACTTGATTTCTCACATGATACACAAACTGTGCAACACACGAATCCACCACTACCAAAAAAACTGCGTAACCGTAAAACAAAACTTCCAGTCCACAAATATTAAGGTGTCTGTGACTGGAAGGCTATCTACAATAATTCCAATTAACTTTAGCACTTAATCCTGTTAGATCAATGGAATAGAACAAGCAGCTTTCAATATAACACGGCGGCTACGCTAGAATACCAACAAGGGTTGAGGAGCAACAAACCAGTCCAAATTCAGTCTGGAGTGCCCCGCCAGACCTTGAAGAGTCATTAAAACAAAATCTTCGAACAGATCGGATTCAACATCAGTGTCAGAGCCACTTAAACACTTGGGGATGTACTGTACTATGTGCAGAATGCAATGTATTTCTGAGAGCCTTATGTAAAACTTGTAATTTTTTGAAGCTTGCCTATTGCTTAGGAATGCTTCCAAGTCTTTGGCTTACTCTGGTGCACAATTTCACTCCATCCCACATCCAGCTGCTACAGCTCTTCAAGATGTTATAGGAGGAGGTGCATTATTTTCATTAGAAAAAAGTGTGGGATTTGTGTCGGAAGATGGGGATTCTAGAACTCTCAAATTATATTTCTCAAGGAAATCCTCGAATAATGTCAGCAAACTCTAGAGAAGGCGGCACTAAGACAGTGAGAAGGTAATGGAGACAGACAGCATATAGGTTCGTAAATTAACCTATGGCCGAGATGGACCGCCGACTGTATTGAGTTGATTCCTTAGAGATCACTTAGTACATCCTCCTAATACTTGTCTAAACAGAGGAGCATATTCATAAGTGATGTTCAACTTGGTACTGGTCGGATTATCATCTCTGTTTTGGTTTATCGGGCTTCATTGTCGGCCACCGAGAATGTGGTCTTCCAAAAAGTACTGAATGCACAGACAGTTTGGATCGCTCTTGTGTTTAGATTAGTTTATGATAATTATGGAATAACTAACCAATTTCCTTTTATAACTGAAGCAGTCATATTATTACTTTCTTTTTGTTTAAATATGATTACTCTGTCCTGCCCCCACTGATTCCATCAGGTTACAACACTCGCTGAACCTTACTGTCTATTTAGCACTTTAGGATTTACGGTCCCATTAGGCGAGGTAAGCGGACACCGGTTATATGGATGGAATTCAGAGATTTTCTTGCCACTTCGATGTCATCTTTAAGTACTATATTCTCAGCGAGTGTCTGTTGTTACAGCGTCCTGACTAGAATCTAACTAATTGAAGAATTTCACCCCATTCTAATTTGGTTTGGCTGAGGCCTTATGGAAATTTAGTTTCGAGTTACTTGTGTGGAATAAAGGTATCTACAAATTCTTTTTACTGGGCACAGTTGTATAAGCACTATATAACAGTGGGTACTGACCTCGGTAAGGGAAGATTTGATCATATTAGAGTTGTAGAGTCAGTGGCATTATTGTTCATCCCTTGTTTTGTAGGCGGAACATAGAACTTGAGTGGCATGTCTTTAAATCACTTATTTCTCCATAGTCCCTTTTAGCTGGTTACAGAGCTTACATTTCCTCTTTATGTAATCTCCTCCATGACATGAATGGACAACCAACCTATCATGTCCCACACAGGTTCCACTCGGCAAACCGCATGGTGCGTGATACTGAGCAGCGGCCTCCTCAGTGTATGCCCAGCTCATCCTCATTTCCTTCTACATATTTCTTGGACTCTTGGTTCTCGGATTGTCCGTTGACATAGTTCCCTGTTGCAAATCATCTAGTCTCCAGCGTAGATTGGCGGCAATATTCGGTGAAAGTATTCATTCTATCGTGTAACGCGCGCCAATTCCCTGGAACATACAAGACCACTAACTTGACATAAGGAGTGGAAATTCGAGTGTTGCTACTTACAATGGGTGTTCCAGACACGGACGTTGATTTCAGAGTACCCTATTCGTGTTTTACTTTCGCCATCCTTCCTATGACATTCCTGTGCAACCATTCCTGTAGTTAAATTAATGCTATTCGTGCAACTGGAAGAGACGAATTCCTCGGGAATTTTCTCTCTTATGGTGACTGGTGCTTGTTGCTGTTGGTCGTATGTCTTCAGCATCTCGTCTTTTCCACGTTCACCTGAAGTCCCATCTCAGCCAGCCACTTTTACCGACTTGTTGATTGTTGCCCTTTAATTTTCGAGTTTGTGTGACATTAAAGGTTAATGATAACTTCTCTTAAATCACCTCCAATGTCCAGATCTTGTGAGATAATTTTATCAATCCAACATATTCCCACCTTCTCACTCCCACTGGCCCGTTGAATGGTCCTGCCCACTGTAATTAGAAAATTAATGATAATGGCACATAATCTTGTCTTACTGCTGTCTTCAACTAGATAGCTCCACTTAATGTTCCTTCGTGAATCACTTCGTATATGAGGCCGTCACGGAGTTACTGAATGAAGTTTAGATAGGACTACAGTGATGCGTTCCGTGATCTTTCTTCCAGAAAGTGGTTTAGTTCTAATGTTTTGCTTACAGTGGACAGGAGCATGGTTCTACACCACTTCTTGTATAAGCCTAAGTTGCTTTTCTTTGGCTGCTTGGCTAGCTAGCTGTTCGTCGAAATGGATCCAATCCAATCCAATGGAGATCCCTGACGCTTTCCATCCATGTCGGATGTAGTGAGCTTAATCAATGCGCATCTGTTATTCTCCCAGTTGTAAAATATTTCGCTACCGACTCATTTATTTTTATCTTTCTTTTGCCCCAATTGTGTAAGTTTTCCCTCTATCTGTTCATCAAATGATGTTTTTCCATCTAAGTCGAAACTATTCATGCTTCCTCACAGTTTTTAACCAAAATCAGTGCCGTAGGACGAGCTGACCTGTAAGATATCTCACGAATTTCTGCAGTCCCATGGTTTAGCATCTTGACAAGAAGCTGAACAGGCTTGTAGATAGAAGGAATGAAATCATTTTTAAAATAATTTAGATCTGTATAACCCTTAGTTTTCTCTCTAGACTAATGTTTAATTCTAGAGCTGACAAAATTGCAGGTTGCTGCTCTACAGATCAGAGCGATTCACATTTGTGACCAATACCATATCTCATGGAGGATTTAATCATGAGCTGACATCAGTTAGAGAACCACTGGAAAACCTGGGAGTACTGGACAGCCGTTTCGTCCTAGTTTGGGACTCCTCAGCAGTACGCACCCACCGGGATTCGAACCCAGGACCTTCTGGTTACAAGGCGAGCTCGTAGACCATTGAGCCACTGGGACCCGATCCAATGGTCCTTGAATTCTAACTTCTGCCAGTTCACGACATAGCGCGACCACTTCGCAATGTCTTCTTCGATGAGTTACTGCCTCATCTTCGACCTGCTGTACCCTACTGGTCACGGCTTCCCACTAGAACCCCAGGTTAACTGCCTGAATAGGGCCAGTCACTAGTGAGCATCAGATGAATTTTCAAGTATTGGTTTTTGTAGGGATTTTGTTTTGATTGCATGGAGGATTTAATCATGAGCTGACATCAGTTAGAGAACCACTGGAAAACCTGGGAGTACTGGACAGCCGTTTCGTCCTAGTTTGGCAGTAACTCATCGAAGAAGACATTGCGAAGTGGTCGCGCTATGTCGTGAACTGGCAGAAGTTAGAATTCAAGGACCATTGGATCGGGTCCCAGTGGCTCAATGGTCTACGAGCTCGCCTTGTAACCAGAAGGTCCTGGGTTCGAATCCCGGTGGGTGCGTACTGCTGAGGAGTCCCAAACTAGGACGAAACGGCTGTCCAGTACTCCCAGGTTTTCCAGTGGTTCTCTAACTGATGTCAGCTCATGATTAAATCCTCCATGCAATCAAAACAAAATCCCTACAAAAACCAATACTTGACAATACCATATCTGTCGATCAACATGCGCCACCCTCCCTGCATACTGTACCAGTTTTTAAACCCAGAAACTCACGTCCTGGATCCCCTCGAATGGAGATTTACTTCGCTGCCAATAAGCTATCTTCTCAGGACGCTAAATTCGGAATTTCGAGTACTGAACTATCGGACAAAGTTGCTGGGCGAGTACGCGAATACGACGTCCATCTCAGAATGGAATGCTTGTACTATATATTATTATTATATTACTATGAGTTGAAAGGAGAGGTACCATGCTGCATGTCATTCTCCAATAGGAAAGAACTAGGCTGCTTGTTAAGCAATGTCGAATAAGTGATCAGACACTTTCCCAACTCAGGAGGCACATGCAAAGCTCCATAGCGTGTAGGAAAATCGATAAATAACCCTCTTATGAAATCTGTCTACGACGACTGCCCACTAACATCCAACTGATCATTGCCTTTAGAGATGACGACATCGGCATTGATGAGCTCGCCGAAATTGCTGACAGTATATATGAGAGGTCAGTGCCTCGCTCTGTTGCTTGAACGAAACAGGTGTAGACAACAATGGGCGTTGATGCTTGTGTCCCAAATCAGGGACATGAGAAAAACAAGAACAATGCCTAACCTTGAGGAACTCAACAACCAGCCACAGCAGACTTAGTTCGGGTGGATACGATTCGAAGATATATCAACGGACTGTCTAAGAAACGGCCACAAAGAGTTGACAGAATAACCTTCAGCAGCAAAACAACCAATCAGAAGACGTTGCTTCTCTGCTAAAAATA